CGCACTGTTTTGCATTATGTCTTCGAAAGAGTGTCGACTGCTTCGAGAGCCATTCTCGGAGCCATGGATATTTCATCCCAAATAATCATGTCCGTGTCCATAAGTTGTTGCCTCTCTATGTTAACGCTTCATTAGTGAAGTGCGATTTCCACTTGCAATATTCAGTTTGAAAGTTGAATTAGCGGTCCTCCCTCCGGGCAGAATATTAGCGGCTATTCCAGTCCACGAAATGCACATCCTTGACGTATTCTTCCAACCGCAACATTGTTTACGGCGTTGTACAGATAGGTTTTTGCACTACCACCTGGCCCATAAACGAATATGCTCCGGTTTCCATGCAATGCAGCAAGGATGTTGTCCGGTTGCCTTTTGCATTCTATTTAATGTATCGTACTGGTGGAGGCCATTCCTCTCATAAGAGTCGTATTCAATCGGTACCGTTGGTGGTGATGGTCGCTCACGCGTTGGGGGAGTGACGACTTCGCTTAATCTTTTCCCAGCAAACTCATTCTATCAAGGATGTCATAGTATGCTAAAGTAACGGCAAGCTCCATACCCATTCCTTGATAAAGGTAGTCGTCACACATCGGCTTGCGAATTTGTTCCATAATTCCTGAGCAGTATTTACGTCGCAGAAGCACAGCAAGCATGCGAAGAAGCTTCTGATAGTCGCAGCCGTCTGACACTACTACTTCCAGAAGGCTTTGCCATAGATACGTATCGTCGTCTAGGAATCCAGCAGCTTTCGCTGCTTCAGAGAACGTGGGATATACTGTTCCATCAACGGTGCGAATATGTTCAAATGATGTCTTTCCTTTTGTGTTTAGCAGCAGGATTCGTCGACTATATCTTTCTACGTCTCTTGGTGTACATCCTTCCAATTTCCTTGCTACCACGTCCTTTAGGTTTCCTCTCACGGTTGCGGTGGAGTGTAAAGAATTCAGGAATCTGGTAGCAATAGAGATTTCTAGCGTCAATCGGGTATTGCTGGCGTGATGTACCGGCGAAGATCTGGGCACATTGAGCGTTCAATTGGAAATATGCTGTGAGAGTAGTTGGCGAACCCTCGGCACGACTTAGAGACTTTCGTTCTGTACCGGCTGCAAAGTAGACTGTTTGAGATTCTGGCAAATACACTGCCAGTCTACAAATTCCATGCGATTTATCCTGGAGCGGGAAAAAAAATAAAATTCTGTAGATACTCTGCCATATCTTGTGGAGATGTTGTAGTATTTCATCTCCTTTGCTTGCACTTTGATATTAATGTTCGCACAGTCTATTCCTTTCAAAATGTATTTGTAGAGGTATTTGACTGCAGAACCCATTCCACAAATCTCCACATTAAGGTGACAATGTATTTGAGAATAAGATAAAGATTTGTTTGGACCATCCATTCACAGCTGTAAGAAACTCCTTGTATCTCAGTTTGAAAGAGATTGCGTTTTCTGTTAGGGGGTCCATCGCCTCTACCGAAGTATGCTGTCGCAACGGTTTCGGAAATCGTTTTGAGCAAAAGCCACCCTGCATGGATGAGCAAGAATCTGCTGGACCACACTTTCGATGTATCATGTAGGATGTTACGGCAGTATGGAGATTCGACTCCGTTTGTGTATTGGGGATCTCAGCACTAACGGCTCTATTGCATCCTTTCAAAATAAGCGTTTTTTCCATTGTCTTTACTATTAAGATATGGGCAATGCGGATGCCGGCCACTCTGGGGAACTCGACGACGTACACGGGACGGGGACTGGCACTCGCCCAGCACATGCTTTTGACGATCTGTGCCAAGTTCTCAATTTTGCTTGAACATACGCGATGTTCGATCGGGGGATTTAGGTGGATGCGTCTTGCCGGGGAACAAATTTTCTGGAATTGCTTTTCCATTGCGGATACATGTCATAGTCAGGAGCTATGTAGGTTTTCCGGAGCGTGCTTCTTTAGCTGGCCTGGTTCTGGACTTCAAAAGTCAAACCTTTGCTTAAATTTACATATCGCATCGGACTTACAAACTGTTGACATAGTTTTCCGGCATGAAGTATTCGAATGAAGGAGTCTTGTATCGAAAACAGATATGAATAGTAGTGTTTCTGGGCGATACGATCATCTAATTCATTTGTGAGCGCTGGCTACCATCCTCCTCATCCGCTGGGGAAGTGGATAGGTGAGATAATGGGAAGTGGATAATCACAGATTGCTTGTCTAGTCGCTGAAGTTCAATATCTGCTCCCACTGTAGGCCTGCGCAGATGTACAGCGAGGCTTCTGTGGACGGGACGCCATCATCTTCTCCAACATATACCACCGCAACTTCGTTAGCTGTCGGAATGTCGTACAATCGCCGAGTAAGTACCCGCTCCCTTCTTTCCTCTGAAACCATTCTTATGTTAGCAGGAAAGGAATCTCCCTTTCTGCTAGAGCGATTTCAGCTTGTACGACCTCGCTCATCATTTTGTAGGATTGGGCGTAGAAGTTGACATGAAAAATGAACTCTCAGCTAGCTGAGAAAGCGCATCAGTTCCGGATCGCAGTCTACATTTCTTCATTTTCCATACTAAGCTAGTTGAAGGAAGGAAAGAGAATAGAGATTAGAGGCGGGGGGGGATGGGGGGGGTTTCCGCCATACAGGGCATTGTGATGAGAATGCAATTCATATCGAGTGAGGCATCCATTTCGTCAAAAATGGGACGGGTTGCTAAGCAAATTATTTCATTCCCCGATGTTCCCTGGCTCATCTTGGGTTTAGCCCGGGAAGATGCCACCGTTTCTAGCGACAGCGCTCAAAAGGAAGGATTAGATGATACTAAATCAAAAAAAACCAGCGGAGTGCGTAGGAGGAGTGAAACCGCTGGCATTGCCGAAATGTACAAGTTTCAACGCGTTCTAAACATTAACCAAGTCTTAGCAAGCATGTCAACACAGCTTGACCAGAATGCACACGTTTAGACAAAAACTGCTCTCGTATATTCGCCAATATACGCTAATGGCATGCTACGAAGAAGACTTACGGGCCTCAAATATCGCAAAACTAAGGTTTTTTCGGAAGAGCTTCGTTTCCGTTGAAAATACACAAGAACGCTCATGATGAAGCTCAAGAACTCTGATCTTTTTTGAATCAAGGAAATTGACTTCGCGCTGCATAAAATAAATTTTCTCTTGCAAATCCTGGTCATAATGACTCTTCTACAATCCTCCCCGATGCATGGATTATCAGTAATACCGTGATGCGCCTTTTCTATGATGCCTTCAAACATTCCAGGAAAAGCAGAGGTAGAACGCCTGTACCCATTCTGCTTTGTCTAACGATTTATAAGGCAGTGTTACCTCTCTTCATTTAGAATTCGAGCTGTAAATTCCTCACAACTTCTTACTTTGATGGCTTCGAAGTAGAAGGCTCAAAAGAACATTTTCAGCATCTTTTCAGAACTGCAAAAGGGTAGTATTCAGAATAAAAAAAAAAAAAAAAAAAAAAAAAAAAAAAAAAAAAAATAAAAAAAAAAAAAATTATTTGATTAGTTATAGGGGTGCGATAAGTGCGATTTAGTTGTGAGCGGTGTGGTTCTAAAAAGCTCAATTATGGAAATTGAACCTGAAAGTAGATTCGCTTCGACCGGCCTTGCCTTTTCTGTGATGCCTTCGTATGGATCAGGTTGTCTCATAAGCAGGGTCAACCCTACCGTTGTTACTTTTTGGAGATTTTTTACGACCCCCCTTTCTGAGCGATTTTGTACGACCCCCCCTACATGTAATACTTCTGCTCAGAAAATTCGCACCAGATCTTCTCAAAAACTGCAATGAACTACCAAAACCTAACAGCTCGTTTTGGAGCATGCATTGAAAGGCATCTGCTAGCATATTAAATATGCTTGGAGATCTGTGGAAAAGTGAGCTACAAAAAAGTCATGAGAGGAAACAATGTCAACAAAGAATGATTGGAAAGAATATCGGCTAAAAAGTATTGTGTATTAACTTCCATCGAGAGCACAGCAGAGAGCGAGCACTTACAGCAAAGAATCAGGATGAAAGAGCAAAAAAAAAAAGACGAACGCTGGCGCTGTCGTGAGCAAGATCGCGGTTTGAGGGTGCCTGAATGCGCCGTGCCAGACTTTGGGCAACGGACCCGATTTTTGCACAAATTTCCAGGGATGCGACGCGGACGTTCGCTTGAGCGATCCGTCACTCGAGTGGCCCGTCGCTCAAGCGATCCGTCGCTCGCGATCGATATTCTTGGGAGGAGGGTTGCCATCCATAACACCGAATAGTTCCTATTTCGCAACAACCGTGACCACTCAACGATTAAGTCAACATGTTCTTCTTATATATTTTGATCCATTTAACTATCTGATGATATCGTGAATGAACAATTTGGGAGTAACAGTGCTTTGAATGATATTATTTATATTTATTCATGTTGGCGCTAGTATTTGTCTAATGGCTTTATTATTTTGGATTTCAATTTTTTATTTGCAGGTATGGCGTCTGTAGTCATGCACCGAACCTAGCTATTATGTGCTGTGTTGTCGTATCGATCGCGAGCGACGGGCCACTCGAGGTAACGATGCTCAAGCGACGGATTGCGGCCTCGAGCCGAGCGCGTCACGCTCCCGTAAATTTGTGCAAAATCTGGTTCGTCGCAAGGTCTGGCACTGGCCAATCGCGCCCATTGTCGTCTGACGATGGAGCGCATTTGCTGACCGTGAACATGCGGCATCCCTTCATAAGATAAACTAATTTGTTTCTCCAAAGTATATCACATGCAGTATATTGAAGTGAAGGAATCTTGCGCGGAAAATTCTTGCACTCTTTCCTAACATGAATATGTCAGTTGTGATCACTGGAAATAGCACACAAAGTTTCACGCATGAAGATTCGGTTTCTGAAGAGAAACAAACGTACAAAAACTACACGTTATGGACCATCGAAGGACCAGGAGGCAGAGCCAGGCGAGGCATGGAAAGAAGACGGCGTTTGGCCGGCTACGTACCAGGCGACGCAATGAGAGAATCGGGTTAAAGCGCGCGATTTCGGAGAGTGGAGACAAATCGATCGATGGAATAGGATGGAGTAGAAGTGTAAGATGTGAATGCAACGAAGCAGAAGGCCAGAAAGAGCTTCTAGTGAATGCACTCCAAGAACCAAGTTTGAGCATCCCCGTCGCCAGCATTCGTGAAAGACGTCCGTGGGCAATTCGAACGCGTAGCAGCCTTTTCGAGTTTTCGAATTTCTAATCAAAACGAAAGCAATACTTCAGTTCTTTTCACTATTATCGTGGATAATGAGTCTCAAGCCAGTGATTTATGGCTGAAATAGAATCATGATTTTTCCGCGCAAGATTCCTTTAAGAAATATTAAAGCTTATGTTTTACCGTCCTCTTTCTAGTTCTTATATGATTCCTTCATCTTCAAAGCTTTTACGACGGTATTATTTGATTTGAAAAAATTCAAATTATCCTCTCTCCAATCGTGGCTAAATTTTCATAAAAAGTTAATTTATTTAAAATTAGCACGTTTGATCTTTTTTTTCGGGGCGTCAAATGCCGACCTTTTTGGCAACGTCTGAAACGATCATAACTTCCTTCAAAGTCATTCATTTGGAAAGCTGACACTGCATGACAAACTACACGATTCAAGATTTCTTAAAGAGCACACCGAAACGTTCCTGAAAAGTCAACAGTTCAAAAATTAGGTCCCGTTGTTACTTTTTTGGGGGGGACCGGGCGGGCATCTCTTAAACCATTCTATATATACTATATTTTGGTGTCGCTGCCCATACTTTCCGGAAATCAATTTGTCGTACATAGGATGTATTATGTGTAGAGCGTTGAGCATGTGCTTGTTCTGACATCCCCTGCCTTGGCACCACGCTTCGGCCGCGCTTCTGATTCGCTGACTCATTTGAAAGCTCATTTAGGAAGAAGCTGGGTTTGATGCTCTAGTATCAGTTATGTTGCGTAAACGTAACGTGCTGGCTATTATACATGTTTTCACAAGCAATGCTCAGCAAGCCGGCCACGAAGATGAGTGCGACATACACTTTTCCAAGTCCATTTAAGTATGACCCCTCCGTTGCTACTTGTAGCAACATGGGGTTGACCCAGCTCCTGTCGCTTTTATCCAAACTTTTCGGTGCCTATGCTTTATAACAACTTATATAGCACTCGAAAGAGAATTGTCTGCACTACATGATGCTGTCTTTTCTTCCTCTGTTGTTGCAGAGGTTCAAGATTTTGAGGCCCGCGAAATGGGAGGTTCAGCCGACAAACATGAACCAAACCGACAACTAGCCCTAACTTTATTTTCTCGCAGAAAAAATCAATCAATGATGTACCCTCCACGTATCCATGACCTCTTCAAACATTCTCTATAAGGTTACCCAACAAGTCCGATTGCTTCGTTCCATATGATTGGCAAAACAAAAACTCCACGATTCGAGCACCACTACTTGAAAAGAATATAGAATTTCAAGAAGAAGTCATGACTACGTTAGGAACGTACGCCTGGTTTATTTTCTCGTCTTTTCGGGGGGAAAATTTTTTCAAAAGTGATGCGAACACTCTCGTGGACAATACACCTTACCGCGCAGAACCTAAATTACAACTAGAAAAACAAAACAAATAGGCTAATAGAGCAGGAGAAGTGCTGACAAAAGAAATGCCACTTTACGTAAAACAATGACGTTTCAGAGGAAGAATTATCGATTTGAAAACTGCCATGGCTTATCGGTCGGCCAATTCGAAAAGAAACACGGCAGACTTTTTTCGGCGAATCAAAAACGGAATCTTTAGAAGAGATAATGTGTAAGTAGAGGGTACATCATTGATTGATTTCGCCTGAGAGAAGATAAGTTAGAGCTAGTTGTCGGTTTGGCAAGTTTTTCCTCGACTGGAC